ATGGAGCACTGGGTGTTATGCACAAACAATGAATCATGGAACACTTCATCTAGAACTAATGATGTAATGTATGGGGATTAACATAAGAATAAAAAAAAATCCATTAGTGTTTCATTATTTATCTCTAAAACATAAGGGCTCTTTCTGATAAAACTTTTCATTTTGAGCTAATTTTAGATGTACAGAATCATTGCAAACACAACGTGGCGAGTTCCCTGGCATACCCACCTCCCCCTGATGCGAACATCTTACAGTCATAGTAAGTGACCGGAACCAGGAAATTAACACTGGTGCAATAGTGTTAACTAAACTACAGGCCTTAGTCAAATATCACCAGTCAAATGTCACCAATGTCCTTTTTTTGGTCCAGGATCCAATCCCAGACCCCGCTTTGCACTGACTTGTCCTGGCTCTTTAGTCTCCTCCATCTGGGACAGGTCCTCAGTCTTTCCTTGTTTTTCTTGACCTTGACACTTTTGAAGAGTACTGATCAGTTATTTTGTAGAATACAAAATATAGAATGTAGATGTAGAAAGTAGCCATGGTTTTAATCTATAAGTTCCTCTTTGCTCTTTTTCTCTTAGCAATTTATTTTGAAGAAATGGGGTCTTCTTTCCTGGAGAGAGCCCCACATCCTGGGTTGTTCTCATTCATTGCATTTCTGTGACTCATTTAGCATGTTTCTCCCTAATCCTTATTTCCTATATAATGGGAGTTAGCTCCACAGCTTCATAAGAATTACATGTTTTTAAAGACAAGGATACCTTACAAGTATACTTTCATTAGGAAGCCGGCACAAAATATCAAGTTGTCCCTTGTTTTGTGATTTTAAGATTGATCACTGTGTCAGAATGCCAGCTTGATCAGTTCATTATTAAGTCCCAAATCAGTTTTTTAAATAAAGTCTAATGGAACTACAATTAAGCTCACAAATGGTAAGTATATATCTCAGTTAATTTCCAAATGCATGTGCCACATAACCACCATTCAGATCAAGCTGCAGACCATGATTAGCCCCCCAGACCTCCCTCAGACTTCTTCCTCATCAATACCATCAGTAACTCAAAGATGAGCCCTGTTTTCATTTTTAGCGTCATAAATTTCTTTGGTCTGTTTTTGAATTTTGTATAAATGGAATCATTTGGTACATAGTCTTTTTCATCTGGCTTATTTCACTTAATATTATCTGTGTGAGAATCATCCATCTTGTATCTATGGTTTGTTCTTTTTTTTTTTTTTAAGATTTTATTTATTTGACAGAGAGAAAGACAGCCAGAGAGGGAACATAAGCAGGGGGAGTGGGAGAGGGAGAAGCAGGCTTCCCACGGAGCAGGAAGCCCGATTCGGGGCTCGATCCCAGGACCCTGGGATCATGACCTGAGCCGAAGGCAGACGCCTAACGACTGAGCCACCCAGGCGCCCCTATGGTTTGTTCTTTTATATTGCTCACAATAATCCCATTGGCTGGATATACTACTGTATAATTTATCTATCTACCAGCTGAGGAATGTTTGGGCTGTTTCTAGTTTTCAGTATTATGAGTAAACCTGCTATAAAAATGTCTCCTGGTGCATATAGGACTCACTTCTGTAGTCATCTACCTGGGAGGGGAAGAGCTCAGAGAATATATTTATATTTAGCATTCAGTGTTGTTGTCAGACAGATCCAAAATGGCAGTACCATATTTACTTCCTGTCAGCAGGTACAGGAGTTCCAGTTACTCTGCAGCTTCACCAACACTGGGTATCTTCATTTATTTGTTTGTCTTTTAAATTTCACCCATTCTGGTGAATGTGTAGAGGGCATCTGATCCTGGTTTTAGTGTGTATTATCCTGAAAATGAATAATGCTGAGTACCTTCTGTGTTTATGGGCCACGTACATCTTCTTTGTTTAAAAAATGAAATTCTTGTCAAGTCTATTGCTCAAACAACTGGGTCGATCTTTTCTTGTTGGCTTGCAGTAGTTAGGCATTCTGGCCATGAGTCTTTTGTCAAATGCACGTATCACAAAATTCTTTGCCCACTCTCCGTCTTGCTTTTTCACTCTCCTTGGTGTCTTTTGATGAACAGAAGTGCTTAATTTTAATGAAATCCTATTTTTCATTCTTTTGTGGCTAGCGTTCTGTGTCTTGGGTGACATCATCTTTGGTTACACCTCATGATCATGAAGGTTTTCTCCTGGAAGCTTCACTGTTTTCCTTTTCACATTTGGGCCCATGATCCATCTGGAAATGATTTCTGTATGCAGCATGAGGAGGGAGACCAGGTGGGCGGGCTGTCTTTTCCTGCTGCCCGCCCTGCAGGAGGTGTGTTGCTGTGGGGTCTTTGTTGTAAATCAGGTGACCTTGAGGTGTGGCTCCATTTCTGGATTTTCTCTTCTGCTCCATTAGCCTACTTTCTGTCTTCCCACTGATACCACACTGCTTTCCCCCCACCAGCTTTTCACTTGATGCTTTCAGCAGCTGTTGATGACCATTGTCTACATCCATTATCCTCAACAAGGGTTGCAAAATGGTGATCTCTTACTTCTATCCATTTCTTCTGGTTTTATGAGCTGGAAGACGTATAAAGAAAAAAAAACCCTATTTGCTCACCGTGAATGTACGTTTGGCTCAAGAAACCATTCCATTTACAGAACCTGAAGGCCTGTCTCCGGCAGGGACTGCTCCACCACAACCATTAGGTGGCGCTATGCTATGCTGAATATAATGTTCTTAACTCAGAAATGAACAGCAGAGAGCTTTTGTGGTTCCATGCATTCTTTCCTGGCCTATGTTGGAGGATACGAATTCAACCTTTGTTTCTCACAACTAGAAAATCTTCAATTTAGATTTATATCTAATTTAGACCCCCTGGACCCCAGGGACAAATGGGACCACAAGGTCCTCCACTGCATCAGGGAGGTGGGGGGCCACAAGGATTCATGGGACCACAAGGGCCCCAGGGCCCGCCCCAGGGGTTGCCGAGGCCTCAGGACATGCATGCGCCCCAAGGAATGCAGAGGCATCCTGGACCTCATGGCCCTTTGGGACCTCAAGGACCACCTGGACCACAGGGTAATTCTGGTCCTCAAGGTCATATGGGTCCTCAGGGTCCACCTGGCCCACAAGGTCACATAGGCCCTCAAGGCCCACCTGGTCCCCAGGGTCACTTGGGCCCTCAGGGACCTCCTGGTACTCAAGGTATGCAGGGACCACCTGGTCCCAGAGGAATGCAAGGACCTCCTCATCCTCATGGGATACGAGGTGGGCCAGGGTCTCAAGGGATCCAAGGTCCTGTGTCTCAGGGACCTCTGATGGGATTGAATCCAAGAGGAATGCAGGGTCCTCCAGGCCCCCGAGAAAATCAGGGTCCTGCTCCCCAAGGGATGATGATGGGCCATCCGCCTCAAGAGATGAGAGGACCTCACCCTCCAAGTGGACTGCTGGGACATGGCCCTCAGGAGATGCGAGGCCCTCAGGAGATGCAAGGCATGCAGAGGCCTCTAGCCCAAGGGTCCATGCTGGGCTCCCCCCAGGAATTGCGAGGGCCTCCAGGCTCACAAGGTCAGCAGGGGCCGCCCCAGGGCTCTTTGGGGCCGCCACCCCAGGGTGGCATGCAAGGGCCCCCTGGACCTCAGGGACAGCAGAACCCGGCAAGAGGGCCACATGCATCTCAAGGGCCAATACCATTCCAGCAGCAGAAAACAGCTCTGCTAGGTGATGGGCCCCAGGCCCCCTTCAATCAGGAAGGACAGAACACAGGCCTCCCACCCCTGATACCAGGCCTAGGGCAGCAGGGAGCACAAGGTCGCATCCCCCCTCTTAACCCTGGACAAGGACCTGGCCCTAACAAAGGTGACTCATGCGGCCCTCCCAACCATCACATGGGCCCCATGTCAGAGAGGCGGCATGAGCAGAGCAGCGGCCCTGAGCACGGGCCCGAGAGGGGGCCTCTTTCCGGGGCGGCCAGGACTGCAGGGGTCCCCCTGATAGGGGTGGCCCTCACCCCGACTTCCCTGATGACTTCAGCAGACCAGATGACTTTCACCCGGACAAGCGCTTTGGCCACCGATTATGTGAATTTGAGGGGCGAGGAGGACCTTTACCACAAGAAGAGAAGTGGAGGCGTGGGGGCCCCAGGCCTCCGTTTCCGCCTGATCACAGGGAATTCAGCAAGGGGGATGGCCGGGGAGCAGCCGGGGGCCCTCCAGGGGCTTGGGAAGGCCGCAGACCTGGAGATGAACGATTCCCCCGGGATCCTGAGGACCCACGTTTTCGAGGGCTCAGAGAAGAAAGCTTTAGAAGAGGAGCACCCCCAAGACATGAGGGCCGTGCCCCCCCAGAGGAAGGGACAGTTTTCCTGGTCCTGAAGACTTTGGTCCAGAGGAGAATTTTGATCCTTCTGATGAAGCAGCCCGAGGAAGAGATCTCAGAGGTCGAGGTCGGGGTACCCCACGAGGAGGAAGGAAGGGTTTACTCCCCACTCCTGATGAATTCCCTCGCTTTGAAGGAGGACGGAAACCAGACTCCTGGGATGGAAATAGAGAGCCAGGGCCAGGTCATGAACATTTCCGTGATGCTCCTCGCCCTGATCATCCCCCTCACGATGGTCATTCCCCAGCTAGCAGAGAACGTTCCTCTTCTCTCCAGGGCATGGACATGGCATCCCTGCCACCCCGAAAGCGTCCCTGGCATGATGGGCCAGGGACCTCGGAGCACAGAGAAATGGAAGCCCCAGGGGGTCCTTCTGAGGATCGAGGAGGCAAAGGCCGAGGGGGCCCAGGACCTTCCCAGAGAGTGCCAAAATCTGGGCGCTCCAGCTCCTTGGATGGAGATCACCATGATGGCTACCACAGAGACGAACCTTTTGGAGGCCCTCCAGGCAGCGGTACTCCTTCCAGAGGGGGCCGGAGTGGCAGTAACTGGGGGAGAGGGAGTAACATGAACTCTGGCCCGCCAAGGCGAGGAGCTTCAAGGGGTGGTGGAAGGGGTCGGTAGAAGCTGATTCCCCTGAGGCCTCTCTGGACAGTATTTAAGAACTTCTTTTGGACTTACCAAGACAAACAAAAGGAAACCTGCACCATGTAGCCCTGAACTTTTTCTGGGGCAGCTGAATCCTAGGAGCCCCTAATGAGGTCTTCAAGATGAAGAGACTGCTGCTAGCTACCCAGAGTAGCTGGCCTTGTTCTGTCCTGTCCACCCTCACTGCCCTAACTCCCATTGTTTTGTGAAGATAAAAGCTGGAATCTTTTTTTTTTTTTTAATTGTCACAAGACATGGAGCACCTCCACAAATTTAAGTTCATGTCCGATTGGAAATTTGTTTCTATATGTACAGTTTGTCAGAGAAAAAACATTAAGTTGTTTTGTATGAATACAGAATGTGATTTACGCAAGAAAATCACAAGAAAAAAGATTTATGTTTATTTTAGATTATATATATATATTTATAAATCTAAACAACAATAAACACTCTTACCAGGCACAGGTCTCTTGCCCACCCTGATGCCAAGAGAGCAAGAGGCAGCGCCATGGGAACCATGGGGACTTCAGAATTGGGGAAAATGTTTCCCAAGGAAAGATCAAGTTTCTCGTACCAGAAGAGGGGTGGGGTGCTGGGCTGGCAAGAGGGCAGAAACAACGGATGCCCACCACTGTCCACTCTAGAGAACAGCCCACTGTAGACATCACATGGAATGGTAATGTAATGGCTTAGTTCTGGGGTCACAGCTGGGTCTTGGGAGAGTATAGTCGTGGTTGTCTATGAGGTGCAGTGATTTAAGTGGTCTCTGTATCTTCCCCTCAGGCCTGTCCTGGTGCCTCAGCTTCCCCCAGTGTGATTCAGTCCTTTAGGTTACAGCACTGGCCCTTGTTAGGAAGCTCCAATCAAAGGGGGGGCACCACGCATGCATCACATTCCTAGTTCCAGATGCTGGCAGACTCCAAACACAGAAATGGGTATCTGCAGAGTGTTTTCAGTTTTTTTCAAAAGACCTAACAGATACAATACAAACCCTAACTAAAATGTCAATTTCCCTTGCTGGGACTATATCGGCTCACACTGGTGACCACCTCCCCCCCCCCCCCCCCCGTTGTATTCTGATCAGAAGTTATATCTGCACTTAAGATAAATAAAAATGGGGATGTGCACTGCTAATCTTCTTTGACATTTTCTTGGTAGAGATGTTTTTAATGAACTGGGTCTATGAGAAGGAAGGGACGAGTAATAAACGCTGATGACAAAGGATTGGGGCCTCTGGTTGAGGCTAAGTGTGAATGGGTTCATAAGACTCTTTTCAAGGGGCTGTCAGTTTCTGTAGGACAAGACACTGCCACCTTTTGACTCCTGGGAGGCAGGGCAGAGTTCTAGGGTATCACAAACCCTCCTGGGCCCCTGGGTGGGTGGCATCGCGTGAGGTATGGGAACCAAGGGGAGAAATCCAGGTCCTTAGGCAAGCTTATCATTTTAACTAGGGTTGGTCTGCCCAGAGTTAAACCTTATTTTCCCTTCAGCTTGGGAGAGACCTCACTGTGTGCTAATGAAACTCCACTGAAAAGAGACATAAGCTTATACTTGAAGTTTCCACAAATTCTCTAAACATCTTCCCTAACTGCCATGACTTTCTAATTGCTTGCTCCATTAAGCCAATCCCAGCTGGCTGATAAGCTACATATCATCACCAATGAGCAAATGCAGGTGAAAATGCTCTGAAAAGTGTGGCTGTCTCTATTCAAGGGCTCTCAACCTTGGCCGCACATTGAAATAATCTAGGAGTTTGAAAAAACAAGGATGTCTGGGGCCCATCCTCAGGGATTTTGATTTAATTGCTTTGGGTGTGGCCTGGGCATGGTTTTTGTTTTTCGTTGTTGTTGCTTTAAAAATCTTCCCAAATGACCCTCAATGTGCAGCCACAATTGGGAATCATTGCTCTGTAGCAGAGGTTTTCCCATTTGAGCGCCTTCTACATCTTCTGGCCTACAGACCACACTTTGGAGATACTGGTTCTAACCAAATCTTCCCTATATATGTACTTTCCCAGGCAAAAACCAAGACACAAACAAACACAACTCTCTTAAAAGACAATTCCTTTGAAAGACAGTTCCTTTGAAACTTCTAACATGATTTCCTATAGAATCACCAACTAGTGTGATGGTAAAGATGCTCTCACTGGCTTTGCCAAACCAGGAGGGGGCCCTGATTTGCAGCATTTGCTGATGTGGGTGATGTAAATGTCTCCACTGGGGATGACTTCAAGTTACCAACGGTTTAACAACCAGCTCAGAAAATTCCCCTAAACTTAACCCTTGGCTCTCAGGAGCTGGTAGGAGCCTAATGAACCCACTCAGGTGTTTTTTTTGTGGGCGGGGAGGGACAATCACAAGGTCAGGGCTTATTTATATAGCAGTGATACCCCATCTGAATGCAAAATGTGCATATCTTGTTTTCTGCAAAGCAAACCAAATCCTTAACGAGGAGACAGATCATCTGCATTCACCCAGACCCACTGATTTCTTCTCCATTCATAGAGAGACAAAGGGTAGTAAATCAGGGGGGACAGCAGAGCGTTGGCCTGGCCCTTCTGAGGTACAGAGCTCCCCTTAGCACTTACAAGCAGTGCACAACTGTGCGGCCTTCACCACCGTTGTATTCTTCCTGCCACTTATCCACTTGGCGAATGAGCTTCAAGAAGGAGCGCTTGGACACTGGCGTGTCCCTGTACATGGGCCAGCCCAGGAACTGGAATTGCTGCACCATCCGATATCCATCTTGGGGCTAGAAGGAATCAGGCAACAATCAGGGAGTGGAAAGAAAAAAGGCATTGTTTACTTGTGGAATACCAGCAGGCTGAGTCCACCTGCTTGGACTTCTCAGCAAAGTAGTCCATTACTAAAGAATAGGCCTGCCTATAAATACCGAAGGAAGCTTCCACTGGCCTGAAGACTTACGAGTTTTAATCTGGAGCTGTTATTGAAAAACCCAGGGGTTTTAAATGACAGGCCAGACAAATAAAAGTGAAGCAGAATGCTTACAGTTTTGCAAAAGCCAAGTGACAACACACAACGTGAGCATTGACCACGTTGTGCAGTAAGGGGTAAAATGGGTTTCCTTTAATTGCAGGTAACTTAAGGGTAAGAGATAAATTATAATCCAGAGACGTTTGTGAGCTCAGGTTATACGGCATTTGTCGTGAGCACAACATGGGTTTGCGTATGGGTGTGAATCTTGCTAAGATGTCAGTGGTCAATTAATCTTCACCTACGATTAAATGGAATTGAAGTATTCAAAGAAAGTGTTAGAAAAGCGGCAACAGTTTTGATCTGGCTGCAGCTAAATCACTTGGATCACGTCTCCCGCGGCCTTTGGCACCTTTGACGTGGGTGATCGCTCTCACTCTCTGACAGTTTCTTCCCCAGCTGTTCCTTCTCCACTCTCTGCCCTCTGTCTTGGCCTCCCTTTCTCCCAGACCTCTTTCCGATGGAAGTCCAGGCTCAGTCCTCGGGCCCCCTCTCTCTCTGACCTGATGAGCACACTCAGTCTCATGGCTTTCCAGACTCCAGTAAGTCATCATTTTACATCTCCAGGGTGGGCCTCTTCTGAGTTCCCCCTCCATATATCCAGGCCTACTTGATATGTCCACTTAGGATTCTAACAGTCATCCCAAACCCAGACTGTTTCCTGGCCTTCTCTCCAATGCATGCCCTCCACCCAAACAGTTCCATTATACCCATAGCCTTCCCTAACTCGGTTAATGTCAATTCCATTGGTCCATTTCTCAGGACCTGAATCTTGAGACCCACCCCCTACTCCCTGGGTTCCAGCCTATTCCCAAATCCTGTTGGCTCTGTCATGAGAATATATCAGCATCTCTGCCTCATGTACCTCCAACTGCTGCCACTGCATCCTCCTGTTGTCACTTCTCACTTGGATTATAATGGCCTCCTGACTGATCTGTTCTGGACCTCACCAGAGAAGGCCCTACCTCAGGGCCTTTGTATTGACCATTGTTTCTGCCGGCAAAGCTGTCTCCACAGAGAGCTGTGTGGCTGTTCCCTCACTTTGATTGGGTCTTTGCTCACACGGGCATCTAGTTAAGACAGGGACTTGTTCTCCCTCCTGTTCATGGTCTTAGTGCTTTCGACCTCCCCACTTTTTTCCCTATAGCATTTATTGCTTCTAACATACTATATATATTATATCTATTATTTATTGTCTGTTTTCTCCCATTAGAACGTAAGCTCCATAAGGTCAGGGAGCTTTGTTTTGTTCACAAACACCTAGAATGTATTCCAAACTCCTAACTGGTAGGGACTGACACAGAGCAGGCACTCTAGATATTTGGTGAATGAGAAAATAATGAAACCAGAACATAAGTGACGTTGGCTGTGATTCTTACTCTGGCTGCATTATAAATACGGAATATCCTGCTGATGATGTCTTCTTCTAAGTCAGCAGAAACAAATTCCACTTGGATGGGGCCATGTCTGTGAACTCCATTCTCTGGCCAGTACTGCGGACACAACTGAATTCAAAACACAGAAACGTGAGGTTAATCATAGGAATAAATTGAGTCCTGGGCAC